TGAGTCGTTAGTGGTCTGTAAACACAGAAGCTCAAATGCTAACACGTATACCAGTGTGTGCCCTAAATATGGTATCGGATAGGTAGGGTATTAGTGGAGGGCAGGGGAGGGAGAGGGAATGGGGATTGACATGTAAAACAATCTTGTTTCTAATTTAAATAAAAAATTTAAAAATATATATACACATTATCAAAAGAGTAACCAGTAAAGGAAATACTAGACTCTACATGAATCAGACACTATGACACTGAGTTCTAGGATCACTCTTCAAAATTTACCATTGTGCCAGTTCCTGTGAATGTCAAAAGCCCTACTGAAGGATAGTGAGGAAGGGTTGATAAATGAACACATGAAGGATGATTAGATGTTTTTTTCTGCTCTGACATTTATTAACTCAGTGAGTTGTTGAAATTGTTGTAATCGGGATGCCATAGGTAACCAGGATATTGTGTTTGTCTTTTCTATACTTGAGCTTTGCCAAAAGGCCAAACATGTATGTTACCACTGACATTAACTCCTGAATGAGTAGGTAAGTGTGAGACAAATTATAAAGTGTAAGTGCTCATTAGACACTGTCAAGTGAGCAAATTAGAAAAATATGAAGCCTCAAAAAATGCCAGTATAGAGCAGAAATAGAAGAGCTGGGGCTTGTTGAAACACATGGCTCAGACTACATACATCTCTGGTGATCTTCAGAGTCCCTGAGATACTTGTTGCTCTTCTTTGAAGGAGATCAAGGCTTTTCTTGATACCGCATGGAAGAGGAGTTCTAGGAATGAACACTGCCACGAGAGGTCTAACCCCCTGTTATGTGTTGCAGCCACTGATCATGGAAGAGCATCTAGCTATTGGAGGTGTTTAACCATCCACCTTGAAAAACTGGTATTGAAGCAGAACATACAGAAGGAGGGAGGCTTGGCCCTTGAATTTGGTGCCTGAGCCATATGGTATTACATCTGACCTCAAAATGAATTGAGTACACTTCAGACATGAGTTACAGCTGGCGTGGGGAAATCTAAGAATGGGTGGGTCCCTTACCAGCTGTACTTACAGTTAGGCCCAGCAAAAAAGACAGTTTTATGCTTGTTTAAGCCTTCATGGGTTATCTGAAATCTATAGTTTTCCCCTTGTCTTTGCCAAAATTATTTAAATAGTAAGAGAATATTATATTTTTCTCTTTCTTTTCTGAGATACTCTCTACTGATCAATCACTCTAATATTTTAAATTAATATTAGGACATAGGTAGGTAAAAAAAAGTCCATAGTAAACTAAAAGAGTACTCAACAGTCTTTAAATATATTCTAATTCTGGAAGTATACAAATCAAAGTCCCACTGGGAGGGAAGCACTAAATTCTGCAACTGTGGTGACTCCTTAAATGTGGATGTCTATATTTACTCTACAAATTTTAAGACAATAAATAGTTTTCATGTGTGTGAAATGAAACGCAAGTCACTTTTAGCATAATAAATGAAAAAAGAGTTTAAATTTTTAAAAATTTAACAAATTTTCCTTTACCAATTTAGAGTGATAAAAAAGAACTAAGATACAAAAAATATTTTTTCCTAAGTAATCCAAGAACAAAACTATGAAACCAAAAGAAAATATAGGATAATATCCCTAGTTTTATTGCCTGTCCTGTGACACCCCTCCCACATTACTAAGATTTGTTTGTTGTGAGAGTACCCAACTGAGGCTGTGATTAAGGACACAAATATAGTCTGGACCATTAATGAGCTATGGTAAGAAACTGTATCCACTTGGAGGTGGGATGACTTTTTGAATTACCTAAAAATCTCCAAATTTACTTGCTAAAATGGCACTACTGGAACTGAGCCACTGGGTTCAGCAAATGAAAGAAGTATGTTACCCATGTCTTCCAGATATTCTTCTATGGTATTATAGTAAAAACAGAGCTTATCTTGGTATAATCGTAAAGAGACCATGTTTAAATTGATGTACAATAAAAGCATTAATGAGCTATGTATATTTTAAAAGAATGCATAGTGATCTGTCCTTGGTTTCACCATAGTGACTGCTCAGATAGAGTGGATGGACCTTAGATAACTTAGAAAGAATGGGAGATTTGGGATAGCTTCCCATTTTCTCACAGCTACCTTCATCCCTTTCCCTTCTACGCCTAGTATCCCATAACTGCTCAAATGCTATCTTAGGGTTTCTATTACTGTGAAGAAACACCATGACCATGGCAACTCTTATAAAGGAAACATTTAACTGGAACTCGCTTACAGTTTCAGAGGTCTAATCCATTATCATCATGATGGGGAGCACAGCAGCATGCAAGCAGAAGTAGTGCTGCAGGAATAGCAGAGAGTCCTACATAGTATAGGCAACAGGAAGTCAATTGAACATCACACTGAGGGAAGCTTGAGCAAAAGTGACCTGAAAGGACACCCCCACAGTGACACACTTCCTTTAATAAGGCCACACCTCCTAATAGTGTCACTCCCTTTGAGGGCCATTTTCTTTCAAACCACCAAAAATGTCAACCTCAAAATTTTCTTAGAAATATTTTAAAAAAGAAAAACACAAGCCACCTGACTTCTGTTCACCAAAGGAAAATTTTTCAACATGGAAAAAATCAGCCAAATTCACACTAAAACACAAATGTCTAAAACAGTCACATACCTCCTTCTTCATAGCTGGCAAATGGAATGCTTAGATCTCAATGGCTCCCAAGGAGTAAGGAATGGCAGTGATTTTGTTTGGATGTCCAAAGTGATAGAGCTTCTTTAATCCTGAGATGACTATGTTGTTGGGTCAGGACTCTTCAAGTAGTCGCAGTGTGGAAGAACATGTGATTCTCTTATCTATAGCATCTGTGTTTGATGTTATTTCTGCTGAGTTCATCATTTTTAATCCCATCATTTCTCCATTCTTTAGGCTAATCTATATATTCTTGGCTCTAAATTTTAATTTTTGACCCTGAACTTTGTTTTGGTTTTTGTTCATTTGGTTTTAGTTTTGTTTGTTTGTTTGTTTGTTTTGAGATAGTCTCACTATGTTGCCTCAGCTGGCCCAGAACCTTGCAGTTAGTCCACAAAGGCCATCAGTGAGGTTTATTACAATGTGAGGTCCCCAAGGCCATAAGTAGGCATGGAAGTAGAAAGGCATTAGACAAAAAGACAATATATGGATATATCTAAACATGATAGCACTTTAGAGGGAAGGAGAAGAAAGGAGAGAGACTTTCCACTAGAATCCAGAGAAGAACTTCTTTGAGCTTGAGAATGAGAGAATAGGGAGAGAAAGAATCCTAGAGACCATGAGAGGGATTGTGGGGGAGAAGCCAGAGAAGCCACTTCACAGACCAGCCTTAATCTCCAGATCAAAGCCCTTGAGAAGTTTCAGACCAATCCCCAGAACAAAGTCTGACCTTTATAGCCTTTTAGGAGTGGTAAGAAGTTTCACTTCACATAATTTAGTTCAGCATAGCATACATGTTAGGGACCTTGGAGGAGCCAGGTACCAATTGGAACCTAAATTACAAAATGAAAGGATGTTACTACACCACAGCACAGACTTGTTAATTCTCCATCCCAGACAGTGCTGCAGGAGATATGGCTATGGAATCTAGCCTAAACGTTCAATTCTGGATTGTAACAATCTCAAGCTTATCAGACAGCCCAGGTCAAAGATAGAATCTTTTCTCTTCATAGTTGTAAAGTTGGGGCAGCAAGACGACTCATTAGGTAAAGGCATATGCAGCCAAACCCAACCATCTGAGTTTGTTCAGTCTCTGGGATTCATGTAATAGAGAATTAATTCCTTTAAGTTGTCCTCTAATCTCCCTCATGCTGCAGTCTGAGCATATAATTAACTCATAAATAAATTTATAAAGGCTTTTGGGGGTAGCTTTTTTGTTTATTTGGGAGTGTTATTTAGTTTTGAGACAGGGTCTCACAATGTAGTCTTGTCTGGCAGTTTGTGAAGTTTTTGTATATTTCTTCTTCCCAAGATGATTATGCCTAGAAATTTTATGGTGATTAACAGATTGTTGATGTTAACCAGTTTCTTTGTAAGTTGATGAAAGGGACAAGCAAGCCTTCAGGTCATTGTAGTAATGGTCTGAGAATGGTAGAGAAAATTGGTTTGAAAGAGGTATCTTCTGGCCTGCTTTGGAGGGATTTTTGGCCTGGGTTTCTATCAGTTCTTAGAAATGAGGAACCCAGAAATGTGCCACAGCCATTATTTATTACATGAGCTAAATTCAGCTCACATCTATTAGGGTGTATGCCCCTTCATATTGGAAGTGTTTTTGTTTTTGTTTTGAGACAGGGTTTCTCTGGGTAGCCCTGGCTATCCTAGAACTCTCTTTGTAGACCAGGCTGACTCAAACTCAGAGATCTACCTGTCTCTGTCTCCTGAATGCTGTGATTAAAGGTTTTCACCACCATTAACTTGAGCCTGGCTCAAGTTAATGTTAAATTGGTTAAAATTAGCTAATCATTTTGTAGCAAACAAGGATTGAATGGTCCTATGCACAGAACTTGGCTTTATAAGATAACGTAAGGCATTATCCCAGCTTTTCAGAACCTTCCTATCTATCCAGATTTCTAAACCTTTAAGCTTAGAAAGTGTTTTATAAGTGTGACATTCTAGAGATACTCTAAGAAAATTATAGATAATATGTTTATGCAAATGTTACTGTGGTTAAGTACTTCTCTTTATTGTAGTTGCCATGGTCCAAGTTGCATTAACACCTTGCCCTCCTTCTTCTACCTCCTACTTCCATTTCTAAATAGCTGTATCCCAAGGAGCCTATGAATTGGTCTCCAATGCAGGTAAAGCTAATAAATATGATTTAGGATGAAAGGCACTGTGTAAATGCTTGAAATGTTGTTATTACTGCTCTCATGTGCTTTATTATTTTTAAATTGTGCATCCTTTTAAGTAGATTATTTGTTCACCACAGTCTCCATTATATCTAAGCAAAGCCGTCACAGAAATTTCTAAAACCTTTTCATTTCTCTCTGTAGGTTGTTGTTTCGTAACATTTTATACAAGAAAAGCTGCACTTGAGGCCCAGAATGCACTGCACAATATTAAAACTTTACCTGGGGTGAGTCGGTTTACTTTTGTACCAAAATCACTTTATTGCTTGAAAATGGTCCTTTCAACTAAAGGTTCTAGTTATGGGTTCTTAGTGCCAAAAATGGCTTTGGTCCTTTGAAGAGTATGTTCTGACCCTTCTGTCCCCTGCGGTCACCAGACTAGCCAGCCAGCCCACAAAGAAGGCTTGCATTAACACTGATGGGAAGAAATCTCAAATAGCATGTCTCCTGGTTTGGAAATCAGAGTGATCCTACTGGGTACAGCAGCTGCCAAAGAGTATGGGGTGGGTTAAGATTTTAAAGGTGGTGGGAACCCACACACACAAGGAAAGCAAATGGAAAAGGAAAAGCTTTTACTCTCCAGGGTCCTCTTTTCAAATCTATTCTTTAGATTTTCATTTGAAAGGACAGAATGTGCTCTGTATAGACATAATATTAAAGCTTCTAATGACTTCTAAACAGTCAGTGGTGGTTAACAAAGTCAATGTTTTAATGCCAAATGTGTGCCTTCATGTTGGTGTAGAACAGAAAATGGAAAGCTTACAGTGCCTGTTTTTTATTTCCTTCCTAGTTATAGCTGATGATTAGTACAGTTATTAGAAATGAACTGATGTTGCTTATGACATCTTTGTCAAGGTTTATCATATTTTTGTGGGATTTTTATACATTGCACAGTAGTACAAATTGTCCTTTACTGTTTATATGGTCTATTTTCTCCATTTACTGAAATGTCAGTGGTGAGTTAATTCAATATCATAATGATACGTGTTTGTTATAATAAAGGACCTGTGGTAAACACTCCAAGTACCATGATTTTATTGAAACATGTTTTGGTGAGGAGAAAAGAAGGACAAAATGCTCCTGGCATTTCAGGGTATAATTTTAGTGTTTGTTTACTTATCTGTCCCTTTACACATATGCAAACCATGTGCATCACATACTGACAGGGTCACACATATGTGTTTTTCCTTCTGCCACCCCAAAAGATAGAATTTGTGTAATTCATGTTAGGCCCACTGAAAAACATGTCTATAGTAGAAAGATGATTAGACTGAGTTACTTGAAGTAGGTTAAACAAAAATTTGAGAAGTCAGATGTGATTAGTAAGATTTAAAGTTACTTGCTACATTTGCCTTTTCACTTGTAGTCATTGGGGATAGAATCTCACAACTTGCATTTATGTGTAGCTGTGTCTTAAAAACATCACTCTTAACAGCTGCAGGGAAGACATGAAAGCAGTTGCCTTTCAGTTGTGAGCCTTTGGTAAACAGGAAGAAATGGGACCAGACATAAAAGATTAATGCATATTCTTAGAGAAAAATATTACAGGGTGCCTTGCTGTTTGATTACAAGCCTTAGAATTAGTCAACATTTCCATAATTCTAAACCAATATACACCTGTTTTCCCACTGTGATGTGAAGTCATGACTTAATTTAGCAGAAACCCTGCTGTGCTAAATCTCTCATTAAATACCTGGTAAGTTCAGTTATTTAAAGTTGTAGCATGACTATTTTAACTGGTTGCCTTCGTATTATAAAATTAATAAGACATTAATGATGCACTTTGCCATATGCCTTTAGTTTCTTTGTGAATAAAAATAAAAGGGACAAAGAAAAGCATATCATCTGCTGACACTTTAAATATTTTCTGGTTGTAATCATTTTCCTGTGGATAAAGTCTGTTACTTGCTGTCTCTTTTCTAACGTGTCCAAAACTTTCAATTTATAACAAGCTCAAATAGTACATTTTTCTTTCTTTCTTGTACAGTTCATGTTTTGTATCCTAAGGAAATTTTATCATACAGTAGAACTTGACTGATGTCCGGGGTTTTCTTTTGGTCTGAAGTACCAGTTTCCCATCTTGAAGGAAACAAAGAACTTGGTTAGTACAGGAGGGAAAAAACCAATAGGACTATCTGTCAGGCAGTTTGATGTGTCTGCTCTTTGAACTTTGAAGCACCCTCCTTTTCATTAAGTAGGATGTGACTGAGGTAAAGAGTTGGGGACCTGGTAACCCAAGATGTATATCTTAGGCCTGTTCTGAGAAATGTGTAACTAAGAAAACCCCTAGATTTTGTATCTCCATGGTCAACACAAACCCCTAGAAATAGAGTAGTAGAAACAAAGGAAGCTAATCCTGAAACTCCACCCTGAGAGGAAAGAATGGGTCTAAATTGTTTTTTTCCATTTGATCCGTTGCTCTTCTAGAAGGGGTTACTTAATGCTGAAGCAGCAGATTAATTTACAGTGTTCATTTATTGCTAATACTTCATGAGGTTAATAAATCACAAGTAGTTACTCTTTCCCGGTACTATATAGGAAATAGCAAGGATCAATACTGACAAGGCATCTTCTACTTGGTCTAGTTAAAGGACAGTAAACAATACATACTTGATCTGTACTTTAGTGCTGTTCTACTTCTGACACACTATGGAATTTTTACACACACACACACACACACACACACACACACACACACACACACTTGAGATCCTCGGTAAGTAGTACTCTTATAGTCTGATGGAGAATATTGTAGCCCTGTGTGCACAGGCTAGGATATATAATAAGCCATTGTATTTCCTGCAGCAATTTTGATTGACTTTTCTATTCCTAAGCCATTTATGTTCTTAGGAAAACTTGGATTGCCTCCTATCTCAAGGTGTGACATTCTAGGTCTAAAGAATTGTCTCTTTTCATGATAAGAATACAGTATATCCCAGTTGCAGAGTTCTAGCCTCATTATGTGCAGAGCTTCTGGTTCAATTCTCAATACCATACACACAGAGAATATATCTATCATAATTTTTAAAATCATAATGTCCCAAGGAGAGCAGGGAATGGTATCAGCTCAGGACCCACAAGACCCAAGTTCTCAGCACAAAGGAGAAGGAAATAAATGACAACGACAGGAGATAGAGGATGAGGGAGAAGGGGAAAGGAACAAGGAAAAGTAAGAAGAGGCATTTGTCCAGGAGGGGGTTAACAAAGAACTGCCTCTGAATAAAGAGGAGACAGATGTGGCCCAAAGGCAAATTATGATTTATAAAGGTAAACCTTGTTAGGATGAGTTGTTTGACTTTAATTGTGTATGTTAATTAGGTGAACTAAAGGGGGCTTTTATTTCTGGACTTCAATACTTTGATAACTGGACCTTGATAGTCAGTCTCAGGAGGAGGAAGCAGCCAAATAAGGGAATAAATAGACCTTAGTGGCTAACTTTAGGAATGTAATCTAACAGTTTTCGAAAGACAGAAAGGTGAAGACTAGAGTCCCTTCAGAGGTTTCTATAAGAGCCTTGGCGGGGGAGGAAGGGGATGGGGGAAACATTATGATTAAATTACAATCTCAAAAATAAAAAACAACAACAAAAAGATAGTGTCCTTTTTTTCTTTGTTGAGGCAAAAAAATGGCACAGCCCAGACTGGTCTCAAACTTGCCTTAGCCTCCCAGTGCTTGAATTACAGGTTTGTGTAACCACTCTCAGCCATAGTCTCCTTTCAAGCAGCTACAACTAGGAAGCAGGGCAGTGTCATTCAGAAGAAATGTCAGTGTCTACCACTGTGTATTTCAGAGAGGATATTCTTATGATGGCAACCTGGATGCTGTACTTTTGTTTTCACTAATCTAGTTTATTTAGTTCAATTAAAAACTAAAAATAAAGAAATCTGAGGCATAGAAAAACTTCTAACACCTTTTAGTGATCAGATGTTAGAGTCAAATATTCTCATGCCAGTGATAACACTGCCATGTACTACTGTTCTCAAGGTCTTAACACACACTGTCTATGGCAATAAGACTTTTGGATTGAAATCTACAGTGGTTCAGTAGAGAATTCTCTGTATAAATTAATTTAATTAAGGATGTAATAACATAGAATACAATTTTGAGAAAGCTCTTAAACCTTAGCAGCAAAGAAGAATCCGAAATCTAAATGTCTTGTAAAATATTAATCATAAATTGCTTTCAGTCATTTTTATGAATATGCCTTATCCTTTTCTTTTTAGAATCACTACCAATTTTATTAAATGCAGTTTATATTAAGGAGATATTGCCCTACGAGAACATTTGTTTAGAGCACTCCATTTTAGCAGAGGCATACTGAAAGGTGTTTTGTAATAACACATACAGGGTGAGCAACAACTACATATATATTTGAGTTATAAAAACAAATTATCCTGATACAGTAGGAAGAAGCTGAAAGTAAAATAGTCTCCTGGGACACGTATGTTCACCCACATGACAAGAATGGGCCCTTTCCTGGATGCCCTGTAGGAAATAATTTACCCTTGTGGGTAGGTACCTTCCTTCCAAATGGAATTGACTAAGCTATCTATAGAATTGTTTTCATGTCCTTAACAGTAGAATGCTAGAGTTACTCTTTTCTGCAGAACAACTGGGCTCTCCCTGGGACCAAATTCAGTTTTGCCCATTGTAATATATTTTGAGTCACTCATTTCATTGAGGTACTTCTCCTAAATATTAATGTGTGTTTAATGTCCTTGTTCTCAGAGACATGATTATGATTTTACCTTTATCATCATCATTATTTTTGTCATAAAATGTCTCAACTCTTATATCCTCATATCATGTATAACCCCCCCCAAAAAATTCATGTTATTTGAATTAACACTTAACTAGATCAACTTGAGTAAATTTCTTCTCAGGTGTCCTTTATATATTTATGAAAAAATAATGAAAACATATATATAAGTAGGTTTGCATCTCCAAAATTGTGTGCCATGTGAAATATAAAATATGCATTCATTAATTCAGCAAATACTTAGTAACTTTTTATTGTTTTCCCAGTACTTTTCTGGATACTAAGGAATATAAATATAAAGTAGTACTATTGCCCTTTATAACTGAATCACCAAGAAGAAAATGATTGCACCATGTTTACACTAAGTAATTTTCAATAAATAGGTATAGGAAATTTAATTTCTAAATAACAAGCTAATCTAATTTATTCCAGTATTTCCAAAGTAGTCAAGTTTTGCTTTTAAAAGAA